AGAGAAAAAAAAAAACAGAGAAGTGTGTATTAAAAAAAAAACAACAAACACCTCCCCCCCCCCCCCCGCCCTCCTGACAACACACACACACACACACACACACACACACACACACACACTTCGCTGACGAATGGCAAGCTCAAGTAATAAAGGTTTTAATTGTAGGCGATTGCGGGTTGAGGGGGGCAGAAGGAAGGCGAGGAAGAGTTGTTAAAGAGACTGAGCTAAGGAGTGGAGCCTTAAGAATTTGCTAAGAGATGCTTTTAATTGAAATCAGAAGTCCTTGTTTTTTTAAAGATTCCCTGATCCAAGGGGTATTTTGAAATATTAATGTTGGCGATGATAATTAACAAATACTGTTTGGGTTTTTATAAAAGCTGGATTTCTAATATTAGAAATGTTTCTGAAATTCGCTTATTCATTCAACATTTAAGATTTTATACTATAAAGAAGAATATGCATGATCTTCACTTAATTGCCGTTATATTTCTTACTTTCATTATAAAGCAGGCTGAAGTGAGGAGAAAGTGCAGTCCTTTTTAGTCAGGATACGATGACTTAAAAAAAAAAAAGCAGCCTACAGGGTTGGCAGGGAAAAACAAACAAGCTTGCAGAGGGGAGAAATAAAATATGTGTATGACCCTTTGGCTAAAAATCATTCAGGCAGAAAGTTTTATGAAAGGAAGGAGGAGGCGGGGGATTTTCCAGATTAAAAAAAAAGTAACCACGTCAGTGATGAAGCCTCGCTCTGCAGGCAAAAACTATGTGGCACACAGAGAGAAGGGCTTGATGTTCTGAATTTCCAACTGCAGATGCCCCACAGACACCTTCAGAAAGCACAGAAAGAGGAGAGAGGAGGACTGACTCAAGGCACCACAGAAAATAACCACTGACCCTACTGAAGTAGGGCACAGTATTGCTCATATCTGTGTGTTTCTTTTGAAAGTGAAGCTGTTTGAGTGTTTCTTCATGCTTTGGGAAGCATAAACATCTAAGCAGAGAAACATTGGATAAATAAATTAATGTATTTTGAATATGATAATGAGATTTCTCCCAAAGGTGTTCTCATTGTTCTATCAAAACAAAGCAAAAACCAACAAAAGCTCCCTGTGGTGGTGCTTGGCAGTTGAGAGCCATCAGGCTTATGTTACTCAGGTTTACAAGGGTCTGACCCATACTGAGAAGGGATGGGCATTTTGCTCCAATGTGATTCAGCTGTTTCTGAGTCGGTTTCTACAAAGAACCAACATGCACAGTAACTAACGCTTACTCAATGAGTAAGGAGAAAATTACCTGCTCTATTAGAAGGGTTTTTATACTATACTAATTCAGTCTCTGAAAGCTTTTACAAGCATGCCACGCCCCAAAACATTCTGGTTTACAAATAGCTAAACTTGAGCTATTCAAAGTTCAAAGTTTATAACCAAGTGTGGTAGCATATGCCTGTGATCCCAGAGCTTGGGAGACTGAAGCAGGAGGATCACAGTGAGTACAAGACCAGCCTGGGCTATGTAGAAAGTTTGAATCCTAGCCTAAGTGAAACCTGGTCTCAAAAATCATAAAAAAAAATAAAAAAATAGTAAATGCAGAGCACACAAAAACAAAGATTTATAATTGGCTCGAAAGTTACAATTTCATAAAGAATATATTTTTCTTCTTTATTAATTCTGACAATTTTGTACATGTATATATTATTACTCTTTCTCCCACACTTCATTTTCTCCTTTCCATCCCTATTAATATCCCCTCCACCCTCACCATCCCTCTCTTTCCTAGGTTCATATTTGGGGTTTGTTTTGTGACTTATTTAGTCTAACCACAACTATCTGTATAGCCACTGGATTTGGAAGCATCCTTTGAGGCTTCTGGGGTCATTAGTGGGTACACAACTGAAGGCAATGTTATCCCCATTGCCTGAAACTATCGGTGGTGAGGGGTGGGTCCCCTAAGTCTCACCTCCACCCATGCCTGATTATTGACAGGCCCATTCTTTCTCAGATCCAGAGCATGCATCCTAAGTTGCTGTGAATTTATTATTCTAATGTCTGTGTCTTGCCCAGAAGATGACATTTTTGAAGCCCTTCTTTCTATCTTCTGACTCTTACAGCTCTTTTGCCCTTTCTTCTCCAATGTTCCCTGAGCCTTAGAAGGGATGATATAAATGCTTGTTTAGGGCAGAGCACACATTGGTCAGTTATTCTAGGCACCTTGTGCAGCCATGAGTTTGTGGCTCTCCTATGGTTTAGTGGAAGGAGAGCTTTCCATGACTAAGGCTGAGAGTGTTGATTGTCTGTGGGTATAGACAGGTGTTTTGAGACAGTTTGACACTATGTCAGTTTTATAAAATATCATATGAATTTTCCAAAGTCAACTTAAAACTAGCCCAGCTTGGAAATGTCCTCTTCAAGGTCATTTGGGACATTTTTTGTATCTTCTGTTGATGCATCAAAACCCTGAGAGGATCCAAGGCCTGGGCAGAAGAGCACATATTTAATAGATG